CAACACTTCCCGTGTTCTTGACCACAACGCTCGTAGAAAAGTGTCCAGGCGACGAGTGCTCAACGCTCGCCTCAGCAAAAGAGAACGTCGTGTACGACAATCCGAACCCAAAGGGGAAATGAATCTTATCCGCAGCGATACGATCGTAGTGTCTGTAGCCCACAAAAACACCTTCTTCATACTTGACAGTAAGCTGCCCCGTTTCATCCCGCGTACCAGGGAAATGGCCATGCGCAGGCGCGTCTTCAATGCGTTTAGGCCATGAGATGGGTAGATGACCAGAAGGGTTCACGGCACCGGATATGATATCAGCGATGGCGTTTCCGGCTTCTTGACCCGGAAACCAGGCTTGAATCAATGCGGAGACGTTGTCGAGCCAGGGCAGGGCGACAGCTACACCGGTCGAGTTTACGACGATGGTTCGCGGGTTCACGGATGCGACTGTTTCGACGAGCTTGTCTTGTGAGCCTTCGCGGGGCAGGTGGAAGCCGACTTGGTCTTGGCCTTCGGTTTCCCAGACGGGGGTGTGGCCTGTGAAGACGATGGCTATGTCGCATTCTTCTGCGAGGGCTTTGGCTTCGGCGGCCATGTCGAGATCGTGCTCGGAGGCGTACATGAAGCCTAGTCTGAATCCGGGGAGACCGGCGAGGATGTCTCCTTTTGAGTCGCCGGCGGGCGGCTTGGAGTGGACCTGGATTTCGCAGGGCTTGCCTGCGGTGAATGGGACGCGGAACCCTTTTTCGGGGTTGCCGCCGAAGAGGAAGCCCATGGCATCTGGTGAGTTGTGCTTTTGCTCGTAGACGAGCTCGCCGTTTACGTGGACGACGGTAGGGCCGATGCCTGAGCAGCCCAGATAGTGAGATCCAGATTCGCTGGGAGTAAAGAAGGTGGTAAACCTGACTTCGCTGTCCTTGGCACTCTGTTCCAGCAGTGGAGAAAATGCGGCTTCTTTATAGCCATGCTTTGTCTTGATGGGCTTACTGGTGTTGCCCTGGTTGAAGAGTTCCATCTTCCAACCGTCGTTTCCCTCAAGATCTTTACAGCCTTTCGATAGGGGTGGGATGAGTCGATACGTGGCGGCTCCCTTGGCGAACTTGAATTCCACGTCGTTTTCGTAGGCAGCTTTGAGGCCTTCTTCCGGAGTGATGCGGTAGTGAGCATTCAATGAAGCACTTCCGCCACCATGAATCAGAGCCTCCTTAGCCAGACCGAACAGCCCGATCGTCTTACCCTTGACCTCTTCCTTCCTGAGCGGCAAGACACCGTTGTTCTTTAGTAGGGTAATGCCCTGTCCAGCAACATCCCGAATAAGTTTGCTATGCTTAGGGTCGACGATAGACTGCTCAGGCGGAATCTCTGGGTTCTCGAACGCGCCAACCTTCTCGATAAGATTCAGAACATTTCTCGCTCGCTCAGTGATGGTGTCTTCGGTGACCTGGCCCTTCTTGACAGCCTCGAGGACAGCATCGGTACTGCGCCACCTCGTCGGACCAGGCATCTCTAGATCCAATCCAGCGTTCAGCGAGTCGGCCGTAGAGTTGGTACCACCCCAGTCGCTCATGACAAGCCCTTCCCACCCCCATTCACCACGCAAGACTTGCTTGAGGAGGAATTCGTTCGAATCTGCATGTGTTCCGTTGACTTTGTTGTAAGATGTCATAACAGCGAGGGGATTCGCTTCCTTGATGGTGATTTCGAAAGGCTTCATGTAGATTTCCCTCAGTGCACGCTCAGACACAATCTCGTTGACCTTCAGGCGATCTGTCTCCTGCTCGTTGGCCACAAAGTGCTTGATGGTCGCTGCGATGCCTTTCTCTTGTAGCCCGCTGACGACATTGGCGGCCATCTTGCCAGCAAGATACGGATCTTCGGAAAAAGATTCAAAGTTGCGGCCACCGAGGGGATGTCTATGGTTGCACATGGTGGGCGCAAGACTGAGGCTTCGTTAGCAGTGAATATGCGCCTCGTACATCAGCAGACATACAGCACTCGCGCACTCTTCGTCTTAGTCTCTTCAGCCAACGCATGGCCTATATGCTTTGCATTTTCAGGATTCCACGTCGCCGCTGAACACACTGCAGCAGGGAAACATGCAGCTCGTGTTCCTCCTGTGAACACTTCGCCACGTGCACCGTTCGGTCCATCGCTAGTCTACTGTGCGTCAGTCACTGTGAAGCAAGTCTAAAGTTGCAGAGCAAAGTCCTACCTTGATAGCGGGAACGCCCTTATCAAGTACAGGCACAGTTTCCCAAAAGTCCTTCCCAGCAAGCAGCGATATCTTCTCTTCCAGCGTCAGAGACTGAAGGACAGTCTCAACTTTTGAACCCATCTTCTCAGAAGTGTCGTAGAAGAGCAATCACCCAAGAAAACTCGACAATGGTGTGAAATGAACCACGCGCTACCGTCTATTCGCCCGTAGTGACAGATATACTCAACAAAAAGCACTTTGCAACAAAAAGGTTATCGCCGCTCTGCATACACATCCCCCCTCCACCGCGCACGACCCTCGATATAAGTACTCCAACGCCGCTCCTCCGCGCTCGCCTCCAATCCCACACGGGAATCCTGACCGTCTCTCCGGGAAAGCACACCATTGTCGACCGCATCGGTGCATCTCGAGACGCTTCGTTGTGGAGAATTGGGGGAACACATTCGCGCATCATTGGCGCGTCTCGAGATCTACCGTAGTGGCACTCGTAAGCGTGCCGAGGTTTTGCCATGGCGGACGGCCTGATCGTGCTCTGATTCGTACCTTTCCCGTTGGCGAGCCGTCGGCAGCGCTTTCGCCGAGGTTTAGCCGCGAGGGTAGGCACGGAGTTTATCTACAAGACGTCAGATGATACGTGGGATGGGGTTTAAGTACGAACGGGTCTGTGTTGTACGAGTGATGAGTAAACTTTGAGGTCGGTGAACACACTGGACGTTCGATGGCAGACTGCTGATGGTGTTGCTGGTTGCTGGTTGCGCTGCCTGCTGAGTCAGATCTCGATGCGGCAAACTTCCGAGGCTCAAACGGCAGTCAGTCGCAGGGGGACCCACGTTGGCTTGGCTGGCGCCGCTGTGGTGCCAGGTGAAGCTTTTTGAGAAAACTGTACGTCATGTTGTGTTTCTGATGGCATTGCATTTCTCTACAGCCTCAAAACTTCTTTGCAAGACGACCGTCTGATATCCCACATATTCCAGCATTTCCAGGTGTTAATTTGTTTGTACTTTATCCGCTTTTGAGGCGCACAACATGGCTGTTTCGTCGAAGAAATCTGGGGAAGTCGAGCCTATGGCGAGCCGGCGGCATCCGCTTCAGCGATTTGACTCTCCATCCAAAGGATTTTCGGGCGCGTTGCACGTAAGTAAAAGAGAAAGAGATACCGAGAACGCATTGGCAAGGTCAAATGTTGACGAGTATCTACGTTATAGGTTGCTGGTCTGATCAGCTTCTACAGTTCCTTCAAGTTGTATGTCTTCATCTCGCCAACTTTGCACCAAGCTAACACGAGTCCAGCTTAATTGATAACCCAAATGTGTTTGTATGTGTATATCCATTGCATATTTTACAACGTCTTTGGAGATGTTGTCATTGCGTGCCGCTGTTAGTCTAACACATGCAGAACTCCTCCTTCGGCTGGCACCTCCAATTCCTAACCATAATCGGCCTCTCCCTCTCAACCCTAACCTTCCTCTTCGGCCTCATCGCAGACCTAACCTCCACCGCCCTCTCCGCCTCTTCCACGCTCCCCTCAAACCCGCCAGCCGTCGCCCTCTCAGACCACCTGTTCCGGCTAAAGAACTACCTCGCGCTCGTAGCAGCGCCGATTGAAGCCACCATCAGCATTCTGTACTGGACGTTGAAGGCTATTGATGGGAAGCTTTTGGTGCAACCGTATGTTGTCTTTTTCCTTGCCCTCGATTGCCGAGATTTGATGTTGTTCCCGTGACGTTCGTTTTTGCTAACGGGAGAATGATAGTGATATCCCGCTACCACCAGCAATCTACGACATAGGATTCCATCTCGTCCCTGCTGTAGTCCTGGCCTTAGATTACATCCTGCTTTCTCCGCCATGGCCTACCACGCCAATGAATGAGTCTGCGCCTATGATCACACTCGCTCTCTCCACCATCACTGCATTTACATATTGGATCTGGATCGTAAGATTATCCCATTCTCAAAACTGCTCAAGTACACTCAGCTAACCATACACACCATCTTCTAGGAAATCTGCTTTTTGCAGAATGGTTTCTACCCTTACCCCATTTTTGCGATGCTCACGACGAATCAGCGGATTGGGTTGTTTGTTGTGAGTGGCGTGATTATGTGGGTGGTAGGTGGGTTGTTGAGGGTGCTTTATGCGAGGATTAATGGTTATGAGAGTGTGGAGCACCTGGAGAAGGTACGACGGAATAAGGTCATGGGCGGTAGTGGGAAGTGGGAGTAAGAAGGGGAAGGTATGGAGATTGGTATACGACTAGATGATGTTATGATGCGTGGAAGCTATGGAAGCGCGAAATGGAGGTGGATGGTGTAGACAGGAACATTGCAGGTGGGTATTAGAGCGGCGTTGGAAGTCGTGGATCAGATCTAGAGGTTAGGAGTTTACGTGATCGGAAGACAACAAACTCTCTATATTAAACAGGTAAAAGAGAAAACAGTGATACTTTACATGCCCACCAGCTTCTTACCAGCAGTCCCATGCTTGCGAGCAAAATACACAGTAGGGTAAGGCATAGAAATAAGAAGAACATGCCTGAGTATCTGTCCAGCGATCCCCATAGCGCGCCTCTTTGAAGATATCGTATTAAATCATGTCGCATGTCGCTACTCGTTGCAGCGAATATCATATATCACCGTGTAAAAGATATGAATCAGAAAGAAACGCGGGAAAGTAAGTCGCATGCATAAGTCGGTAGATGGAACGAGCGTGAACAGTCGGGTATCTGCTACAGTACGGTGAAGCCGAGCGTAGGTGTCGCGTTGGGAACGGAATGAGAGCACAATTTCCAAGCGCTTAGCTTGTAGACGGTGAAGGTGGAGCTGTGATGGTACGTTGGTCATCGTCATCTTGGTCCTGTTGCTGGTAGGCGCTTGCGGTGTTGTAGAGATGGCTGGTGTACTGGAAGGCCTGTTGATCAGGCCCAATGCCGTAGGAGTAGGTGGGATACTGGTAGGCGTTGTTCTGATGGCCATGAAAGTTACCATAAGCCGTTTGATGGAACGAAGGTAGAACGTTCTCCTTGTTATCATACTGGAACGGGTCGTTGAAGGGTTTGTAAGAGTTGAATGCAGGTGCAGGAGATGGAGATGCTTGGTGAGTGAAGCCAGATGTGAGATAGTTCATGCCATTGGGCTGCGAGAATGGAACGTCATCATCGTCTTGGTAAACGTCAAACTGCTTCCGCTTCGGAGCACGGTTGTTGCGGCTATGGTCGTAGCCAGGACGGCCCCGATCATCATCGTATTGGTTGCGGCTGAGGACAGGAAATACGGGCCGCTTGGACTGTCTAGTAGAGCGGCGAGTGGTGTTTGCATCAAGACTGGCGAGTGCAGGTCGCCGACGTACGGGCTGGGGGCTCTCAGTCTTGATCTCGACCTCGTCCTCTTCGTCAGACTCCGAGCACGAGATCCTGCGCTGGCGTTTGAAAGATCCCAACGGTGTGAAGATGAGCTCAGTTGCTTCGACTACTTGGGAGTTGAGCTCCAGCTGTTCGACGACAGAGCTGTCCTTCTTTTGGTTCCTCTTGCGCCGCATCTCTGGGGTAGCAGAGTCGAAGATGTCCATGCCAGGCCAGTAGACACCTTTGAGTTTGGTCGACTCGCTGACAGCCATCGGATCTGCAACCTCAGCAGGTTCATCTTCAATGGCACACGAAGCCGCAGCGTTGTACCGGTATGACCTCCGACGCTGCTCGTTCGGATCGGAGTATTCACTGGAAGTATCATAGTCTGGGTTGGTATAGCTGCGAGAGCTGGCGCGAGACTCTGTAGGCCAGTACTGCATATGAGGTGCGAGGGTATTGCGATTGCGGAGGACCGGGCCGAGAGGTTGCGGCGTCGGAGAAGGCGACTGCTCTAGCTTGATCATCGTGTGCTGCTGCTCCGACAGGCGTGGATCGAGGAGAGCGCTTGCGGCGGCGCGACGTACAGGACGTGGCGCGGGGGCCTCGATCTTGAGCGGAGGCGCCGGCCGGGCTGCTTCAGGTGTAGTCAGTATCAGTCTCAAGTACAATCGGATGCAGGAGGTGGCCGTACCAGCAGGTCTCGCGCGGGTACGGCGTTTGTCCTTCTGATTCATCCGGTCCGACATGAGCTCTTCGACAGCCCATTCGGCATACCACTGGTCGTACGTCTCAATGAGCCGGCGGGATGCATCCTCGTTGGTGGAGCGGACCTTGACCTTGTAGTAGTTGGATAAATGGCCTTTGCTGGCGATGTGGGTGAGTAGATGCGAGACATCGCTGAAGTTTGGCTTCTTGGGGCAAATGTTGCAGTGAAGCGGAATGTTGGCCATGCCGAGAGCCTGGCGAGGCTGCACTATATCAAGGTGAAAGCTGCAGTGTGGATGCGGTGTTTGTAAGGAGCGTAAGCGAAACAAGCACAAGAGCAGCGCAGTATTGAAAGCAAAGAGCGTTGCGAAAGGAGCGGACTGAAGGTGGAGAAGGCGAAGTGACGGTGGGAGAGGTGCTCATAAGAGACCTAGTACAGAGATGGCTGCCGGTCACCGCGGTAGCTCCTAGCCCATTTCCTGAGCGAATAATTGGAAAGCAGGAGAGGCGCCAGCACTTTTAAGGAGAAGAGAGGAAGTTACCGTGTCGCAGTGAGAGAATTGCAGCAGGAGGAAGTCTGTTGGTGGTGTTCTAGCAGGCAGAGCACGTGGGGGCTCGGCACTGACAAAAGAGGAAGCCACCCTCACTTTCCTCCCGCTTTGTGTCTCGACGCCTATGAGAGAGACGCGAGGTATTAGATAGCGGGAAGACAGGCTTGAACGAATAATACACAGATACGAATGCAAGTGAATGGTCATGAAATCTACAGGCGCGAGACGACACAACTAGCATTTGTTGATGGCATTCTCGCTTACTTACCTAAGCATCTACGGGTGACTGAGCGAGGCATGCAGCTGCGCGTTGGTCAGTATACGCGTTGAGATGCGAGAGCAGTGGTCACATACTACACGGGGTCTACCTCTTCCAGACCGGGATACTTCAGCAGACTGAGACCAGCGATTCCAAAGACGGTGTGGAAGACGTCGACCATGTCGCCAGGTCGGTCTGCGAGACCACCCAGATCTGGGTCCTATCATTCATGGTTAGATGGCGATGATGCTGAAAAGAAGACACTACCCACCTGGCACTGCAGGATGAAGCTCGTCAATTTCTGACCGTCTATCCAGTGCAGCTTGTCTAGCATGGCCATGCTGCTCATGACCCACCAGCTGTAGCAGACGTCTTCCTTCTTCTCTGGCCGGCCGTTGAGGCCTCCGTTCTTGAGCTGTCGTTCGCTTAGCCAGGCGCCCAACTTTTCTTGGTTGACAAGGTCGAGTCTCCCCGCGATGGTCAGTGCGCCAACACACGTGAACACCTGACCAGAGTGCGACTCGGCACCGGGGCTGGTACCGTATCCGCCGTCAAAGTTGGCGCACGAGTTCACGTATTGAGCGGCCTTGTCGACATCTACGAGTTCAAGCAGGCCCATGAGAGACAGGGCATTTAGGGCGCCGTAGAGAAAGCGGGTATCCTGCTCGCCCCACTCATCGCCTGCAAAGGTGCCCGTCTCGCGATCTTGCAAATCGGCGATGACTACCACAATAAGTAGACTATCACGGCGAAGCTGCAGATGACTTACATTTTGCGATTTTCAGGCGGGCGCCGGGGATGCGTTCTTCAAGCTCACCGAAAGCGTCAAGCGTCGCGAGTATCTGCACGCCACTAACGGTATAGAGCATGTGGGCATCATGGCCCGGTGCAGCACCGAGGCCGCCATTATCATGCAGACACGAGATGACAAAGTCGAGGATGGGAGCGCGTGGAAGGGCGTCTGGGCGGCCCAGGAGATGCAGGGCCGTCAGTCCCCAGTAGAGGCCGTTGAGGCGCAGATGTTCGGTGAGCCAGTACTCGAGCTCATCTTTGCGCTGCAGCGGGTCAGCGCGGGATTGGATGGCCGGGAGCTTGCGCGGCCACATGGACTGGGGACGGGCTACGCACAGTGTCGAGGCTCTGGATGTAGGCGACGTGCCTGTCGACGAAGAGGTGCATCTCGCTGGGCAGGCTGGCCATCCCAGCAGCGCGCCCGGGCCCGGAAACGAGAGACATGTTAGACGGGTGTCAGATGTGGGAGGAGTTGGTGGGAGCTGGCGGCGCGGGAGGGTCTAGTCGAGGCAGCATGGATGGCGCCGACAGGGTCTCATAATTTCTGAAACGAGACTTGGCACATGAAGCATTTCGGTCTGGCAGCCGCGACAGCCTCGCACTCGCAACAATGACGATGCAGAGGGTGCTCTTGTGCAGCGTCGATAGTCTGCCGTCGATAGTCCGTCGCCTGGCGGTGAGCACACATGCATGTTACTTAGGTAGATCGCACTACGCCCGCCGTGGACAGCCGTTTGCGATAGCGCTGGTGGACCGAATTGGGGGGTGGTGGCAGCGTCGCGCCCTCGTACTGTACCTGGGGCCGTGCACCGTGCTGAAGTCGTTGCCGCCATCCTCTCGCAGCCTTTGGTGCCCTTTGCTCTTGATTGCAGCAGAGCCTGTCTGTGCCTTGGGCCCCTCCATCGCACTCACCACAGAGACACGTGAAGTGTGTCCTTTTGCTGACCAAGGCGCCGCTCACCGCACTCCAAGCAACGGCCGCCCAGCCTGCGCTCCACGCTCCACTCGCTCCCTTCACCCCAGCGCCTCTCCCTCGTCGCGGCGCCCCGTAGACCCCTCGAGTCTTGTGTGTGAAAGTGGGTGAGTAATGCCCAACCACGGCGCTGCGACACCTCGCTCGCCGCTGCCACTCGTGCCCTCGCCATGTTGTACCACCGTCAACACTCGCCATAGCGCCGCCGGCCCCTTTCACGTTCCGCAGCGCTTGCTGACCACATCCCAGACGTTGCATGACCGCCTCACCTGCCCGCGACCGCCATACTCGACGACCTCTGTGCCCGCCAACGACTGCCGTAGCACGCGCTCGGCATCGCCTGTCCTCCCGGCTTGCTGCATGGGAGCAACGTCCTGCCGGCGGTGATATAGACTCGACACCTGCTGCCGACGCTTCGAGGCACGCCCGCAGCCAGCGCCGACCAGGCTCTCACGGTTCGTACCACCCCGCGCGCCGTCTAATACCTCCCGCTGGCTTTCACCCCTCTGCGCCAGCTATGAGTCCGCTGCTGACAGTCATGCAATACAGACTCGTTGACCGCGCAACCGCCCATGTGCCGCAACCACTGAGCCTGCCACCGCTCCTTCCTCTACACGCGCCGCACCGTCTATTCACACCCTCGCTCGACTGCCTGCACATCGGCGCCCTCGTCCCACCAACACCCATCGAGGTATTGCGGCCCTCGACCTGCACGCTTGGCAGCAGCCATTGCTTTTTAAGGGAGCCGTGCTAAGGAGTCAGTAGCCCTGCGACCCTCCACGGAAAACAATACGAAAGATGCCCAAGTCCTCGACACTGTCGCTGGCTATGCGGGGCAAGCCAAAGAACAAGGACGACGCCAACGGCCCTATGAGTCCCAAAAGTCCGAGGTCGCCAGATATGCCTGAGGACCTCGACTATGCCGCTCCCAATGCCTCGTTTCATAGCATGCCACAGTCACCAGCCTCACCGAAGCCTCGCAAGGACTCCAAGAGCATCTTCTCCAACTTCAGCGCCAACAAATCGTCGTCACGCCTTAACAGCCAGGGGAACTCGATACGGCAGCTTCCTGAACAACAACACTCGCCCAGTCTATACTCCAACGGGCGCAGCGGGGCTTCGACACCAGACCTCGGCCGCCCCGTGCGCACCCCCAACTCGGATGGTATGGCTACAGTAGCCCAGACAAACAGCGTGTCGCTAACTGCCACAGACAACCGCTCCGAGGTATTACGGACAGGCTCAGGCAACTCCAACGACTCCTCCGATCCCCACGCCGACTCCTCAAAGCGCAACACTATCAAACCGAAGAAGGGCATTCTGAACAGGTCGAAATCCATCAAAGACGGCGAGAGCTCAGGTACCCGTGCCAAACTAAACAAAGCCCCACCAGGGCAACTGTCACCGGACATTGCGGGTTCGTGGACGACGAATGGCGATGGCCCGCCATTGAAGCCGGCGCCCATGGACAAAGGTCAATCATGGCGAGGCATAGGCAAGCCACGAACACACTCGGCAGATCGTCAGGACGGCTCCAAGCAGATACCACGGGACGTCGACAACGGGCCACGAAGGGACAAGTCGGAGCAGATATCGCTAGCATCAAGTTCGTACAACGAAACCAAGGGACACGGCTTCATCTCGAAACTCGGTTCAGGAGCTCGCAACATGGGGGAGAAGATGGACTCTGCCCGCAAGGGTGTATTCGGCAAACTTGGACGAAGCTCAAGCAACCACGAGAGCCAGACGCCGATATCGAATGAACCTTACGTGTGCAAAATCATTCACAAGCCCCTGATCGAACAGACGAGGCTGACACGGATATCGACCCGTCTAGAACAGTCACGCGACAAGACTGAGTTCTGGATGCCAGCTCTGCCTTGGCGGTGCATAGAGTAGGTCACGCTTCGATTCGTTCTCCACTTGTGAGGCTAACAACCACTTTAGCTATCTGAACATGCGGGGCTGTGAAGAGGAAGGCTTGTACCGCGTTCCTGGGTCAGCCCAGCAGGTCCGATATTACGAACGCAAATTCGATGAAGGTAGGACTATCTCAATCATTGCCATGATAATTGCTCACCAAGCCACAGACCGAGACATCGATTTGATCAGCGATCCCAACCTGAACGACCCCAACGTCATCGGTTCACTCTTCAAGAACTGGCTCCGACAGCTGCCAGATGAAATCTTTCCAAAAGCGGTCCAGACGGCAATCCAGCAAGAATGCCAGGGCGCTAAGACGACGCCGCAAATGCTTAAGGATGAGCTCTCGAAGCTCCCACCATTCAACTACTACCTATTGTTCGCGATTACCTGCCACATCAGCCTGTTGCACTCATGTTCCGAATTCAACAAAATGAACTACAACAACCTGTGCATCTGTTTCCAGCCAGCAATCAAGATCGACGCCTTTTGCTTTCAATTCCTCATTTTGGACTGGCGAAACTGCTGGCAGGGCTGTTGGACGGAGAAGGACTTTTTGACAGACGAAATCAACTTCCTGAACCATGTACAAGAAGTTGAGTCCCAGCAACAGCAACAACAACAAGAACAGCAACAGCAGCAACAAACACAGCAACAGCACCACCTACAGCAGCAACAACAGACTCCATCCAGAAACGGCCCACCTCAAAGTGCTGGGAGAAGCAAAGGCACGAACTCGCCCCAGGTGCCGCCTCCGAAGAAGCCGGCGACGATGCGGAGTCAGTCTACTGACCATGTCAAATCATCTTCACGAGGGCTTTCATCTGAGAGGAATGGACGCGCTACACCACCGAATCCTTCACTGGTCCTGTCGGAACCCTCAAGCAACCCCGTTTTACGTATGCGGGGCGGCGGCTATAGCGAGCGCGAGACGTCGCCTGAGCGAGTCACGTCGTCTTCAGACAGTCGAGAGGGGGTTCAGCATGCGAGAAGCACACCGCGTGCGCCCCCGTCGGTCAGCACCGAAGCGTCCTCGATCGACCTAGACGAGAATGCCACGCCGACTCAAGCACAACATAGTCGCGGGCCGTCTGAATCGACGCAATTTCGATTGGACCTGCGCGATCCCCCGGGCTCCCCCTTCAACATCAAATTTTGACGCGGAAGCTGAGAAGACAGCGAACTATGTGTTGAGCGCCTCTGGATGAGGTGACGATAGAAGAAGGTTGGATTTGACTGCTTGGTTTTCGCATGTTCGCTTCGTCCCGTGTGGGCTGCCACGAGGTCGCGATACCCGTCGTTTGACCACTCTGAGCTCGTGGCAGCAGTATTGCCCGATAATTGTTTAGTAGCCAGCGCTGGAGTTTTGGCCGCGCATTGATTAGCTGCTTATTTAACCCTGCATTCTGCATTATGTTGCATACGGGCGTTGGGAGAGCGGGACAGGAAGAAGTAGCATTTTGAGCGGGTTCATTTGTATCATATGTGGATATCGTCGCATGGCAGAAAGCGTTTCCATGGCAGTTTCAACGTGTTCAACAATTTCCCTCGTACCAACTGGATCGAGTTGGGACGCATGCCTAGCCCCCGCGCTATTGGAGTAGAACTCGTCGAGGACGGGGCCACATGGGGCGCCAGCTGGGGTTGGAGCTTGGGGCAATGACGTTTCCCGCGGGTTGCGCTTGCGGCTCGTATGCTTCGCGACCGCCCACCGCCGATCTCACACGTCTCCAGGCGCTGCTTCCTTCTCTCCACACAGAGGGCAATTGACCCTCAGAAGCGACTGCGCAAACGGCTTTTGGCCTGTTTATTACCTCCGTCGACCGCGCTGCTCCTCCACTGCATTACTACCACTCTCTCTGACTGCATCGCCGCCATTGCTACGTCAAAGATAGATATCCTAGAGTACCGCTATCCACCTACTATTATTGTTTACTACCGCATAACTCTTCCGCAACCCTGCAGTCTCTCGACACCATCATGTCTGTAGCACTGCCAACACACCCCAAGTCTTCGGACCGCAAGGTCGTCTACCTGCTGCCATTGACCGACTACGGCGTCCCAGACGTCGCTGGCACTTACATCTACCTGCCTCCCCCCACCAACCCAGCATACTCGATTTGCTTCCAGATCCAGGGTACCAGCTCGATATGTCGCGAGGGCAGTCTCTGGGTGAACATCCCCGCTGAGGGCGAGAAGTTCAAGCGCAGCCAGTACCGCGAGTACAAGTAAGCAGCCTGCCATGCCTTGCCTGGTCACATGTCACTGACACACACCGCAGACTGCAGCCCAACTTTACTGGCATGTGTGAGATTGAGATCCCCGTCCACGAGGCCAATGCCTTTTCCTTCTACACGACCTACACACCGCTGCCGCAGTGGTCCTTCACAGACGTTGCGTCGCCTGAACCCACGCGGACGGACACCTACTACATCGACATATGTCCAAATCTCAAGCTGCAGGGCGAGCACTTGCCGGTCGAGGCCGTCTGCATCATCTCTTGCCTGTCCAAATTCATGGGCAACTACCCGACAGACTGGGACAACCACCTGCAGGGCATGAGCCAGCGTGGCTTCAACATGGTGCACTTTACACCACTGATGATGCGCGGCTCTTCAAACTCGCCCTACAGTATTTACAATCAACTGGAGTTCGACAAGGCCATCTTCAAAGAAGGCGAGAAGGACATTGCGAACATGATCCGAAAAATGCAGAACGAGTTCAATCTGCTTGCCATGACCGATGTCGTCTGGAACCACACGGCCAACAACAGCCCATGGCTCGAAGAGCATCCAGAATCCGGCTACAACGTCGACACCGCTCCACATCTGCGACCTGCTCTCGAACTCGATACAGCGTTGTTGCAGTTCAGCAAGGACCTCTCCAAGCATGGTCTACCCACCACCTTCAACAGTGAAGATGACCTTCTCAAGGTCATGCAAGGTGTCAAGGACCACGTCCTTAGCAAGGTCAAGCTCTGGCAATTCTACGTCATTGACGTCGAAAGGGATACCAAGGCCATCATGGAGGCTTGGACCTCTGGCCAAGCCAAGTTTGTTGATGGCAGCTTTAGTGAAGCTGGTCTTCGCGGGCTCGATGCTGTCAGGAACTGGCCACTGAAGCAGAAGGCAGATTGGTTGGTCGAGCATGCTCTGCGCGGCGGTGACCGCATGGGCGAGCGCTACCGTCGGACAATGGACCCGAACATCGCTGCTAGCCTACTGTGCGCCTTGTTCGGTCGCTACGACACCCGTACTAGCAATACTCCCGACGATCGGGCTGCTCAAGGTACTATGACGGCTATGCTCAACGAGGTCAACCTTCCATTTTACCGCGAGTACGATCAAGACCAAGCAGAAATCATGGAGCAACTCTTCAACCGGACGAAGTACGTCCGAATGGACGCCCATGGTCCCAAGCTTGGCGAAGTCAACGACGCGAACCCACTCATCGAGACTTACTTCACGCGCCTACCACTCAACGAGACCACGAAGAAGCACAACCCCGAAGCTCTTGCGCTGGTAAACAATGGATGGGTATGGGCCGCAGATGCGATGCGAGACAACGCTGGGCCCAAGTCAAGAGCATACCTGCGAAGAGAGGTCATTGTTTGGGGCGACTGCGTCAAGCTCCGATACGGAGATGGCCCAGAGGACAACCCTTTCCTTTGGGATCACATGGCCAAGTACACCCGCCTCATGGCCAAATATTTCCAAGGCTTCCGCATCGACAACTGCCATTCCACCCCTTTGCATCTCGCCGAATACATGCTTGACCAAGCACGTAGCGTCAACTCAAACGTTATGGTCTGCGCCGAGCTCTTCACTGGGTCTGAAGAGATGGACTACAAGTTTTGCATGAAGCTCGGAATCTGCGCCTTGATTCGAGAAGCTATGCAGTCATGGAGTACTCAAGAGCTCAGCAGACTTGTTCACCGTCACGGCGGTGTTCCCATCGGCAGCTTCGAGACCGACGAAGTGCTCAATGCTGCGCAGGCGACTGATGGAGCTGACCAGACAAAGCCTATCATCAAGAAGATCAAGCGCAGTCCTGTCCACGCGTTGTTCATGGACTGCACGCACGACAACGAGACGCCAGCTCAGAAGCGGGATGCACGCGACACGCTCCCCAGTGCCGCGCTCGTCGCCATGTGCGACTGCGCGACTGGTAGCGTCTTCGGTTACGACGAGTGCTACCCTGAACTGATCGAGTTGGTGCACGAGAAGAGACTGTATTCCTCTGCCAATTCCACTGGAGGCGAAATCAAAGCACAAGCTGGAGAAGGTGGTATTGGTGGCATCCGCAAGATTATCAACGAGATCCACGTCAAAATGGGCAAGGAGGAGTACAATGAGACTTATATTCACCACGACAACGAATATATTACCGTCCATCGGGTCAACCCTCACACCAGGAAAGGTTACTTCCTAATTGCCCACACCGCATTCCCTGGCTACGGCAACGGCAATGGAGGCTTTGGCAAGACCAAGCTACCAGGCACTCAAGCAAAGCTCGTCGGCGCCTGGAATCTCGAAGTCGACAACAGTCCCGAGACAAGAGCGCGTATCATCGGTGACGAGACGACACTGCGCGGCTTGCCCAGCAAGACAAACGAACTTCAAGGCGTCAACATCGAGGCTACTGGCGATGATACCACCATCAGCATCCCTGATAAGTTCCCACCGGGCAGTATCGCTCTCTTCGAGACCTGGGTACCCAGCGCAGAGCATGCTGAAGGCCTCGACAAGTTCGTCACTAGCGGAGCGCGTTCGGCTTTCAGTGGTGTCAACCTCATCGACCTCAACTACATCCTATACAGATGTGAAGAGGAAGAGAGGGACGCTACGGACCACAAGGACGGAACATACAACGTCCCAGGTCATGGCAACTTGGTCTACGCTGGTCTGCAAGGTTGGTGGAGTGTCCTCCGCGACATTGTGAACGAGAACAACCTTGGCCACCCACTCTGCAACCATCTGCGTGAGGGTCAATGGGCGCTCGACTACTGCCTTGGTCGCCTTCAAAATATCTCCAAGAAGCCAGAGTACGTCAACATTAAGGGCCCCGCCGAGTGGTTGGAAGCGAAGTTTGATGCCATTCGCAAGGTCCCCAGCTACATGCTTCCGCGATACTTTGCCCTCGTTATCCAGACTGCATACAACGCTGCAGTCGAGCGAGCCATTGAGCTCATGGGTGAGAACGTCCGCGAGGGTAACCAGTTCCTCAAGAGTCTTGCTCTTGTCAGCTGCCAAGTCACCGGTTACATGAACAGCGCCTCGTTGTGGCCCGAGAAGAGCGTACCCAGCATGGCCGCTGGTCTCCCTCACTTTGCCTACGACTGGGCGCGATGCTGGGGACGTGATATTACCATCTCCGCCCGTGGTCTTTACATGGGAACTGGTAGATATGCCGACGCTAAGGAGCACATCTTTGCGTTTGCCAGTGTCTTGAAGCATGGCATGGTCCCCAATCTCCTCGGTGGTGGCAAGAACCCACGTTACAACTCCCGCGACTCAGTCTGGTTCTTCCTCCAAAACTGCCAAGATTACTGCAAGATTGTGCCCAAGGGCATGGAGCTTCTTCAAGAGGAGGTCAAGCGTCGCTTCTTGCCGTACGATGACACATGGTTCGCTCACACCGATGCAAAAGCGTACTCTCAGTCCTCCACTATCGAAGATGTCATACAGGAGGCTCTCCAGCGACACGCCTCCGGCATAGAGTTCCGGGAGTATGACGCGGGCCCGAACATTGACAGCCAAATGAAGTCCGAAGGCTTCAACATCAAGATCTGGACAGACTGGGAGACTGGTATGATCTTCGGTGGTAATCAATGGAATTGCGGCACATGGATGGACAAGATGGGTGAGAGTGAAAAGGCCGGCAGCAAGGGTGTTCCCGGTACACCACGAGACGGCGCTCCGGTTGAGATCATCGGCATGTTGTACAGCACAGTACGCTGGTGCGCCGACATGTACGACGCAGGCCAGTTCAAGTACCAGGGCGTTACCCTGGACGACGGCAAGAAGACCGTTACCTACAAGGAGTGGGCCAACCTGATCAAGGCCAACTTCGAACGCTGCTTCTACGTTCCTCGTTCGGCAGAAGAAGACAGCAAGTACGACGTCAACTCGAGCATCGTCAACCGTCGTGGTATCTACAAGGACTTGTACCGCTCAGGCAAGGAGTACGAGGACTACCAGCTGAGGCCAAACTTCCCTATTATGATGACGGTTGCACCGGACCTCTGCGATCCTGAGCACGCCTTGTATGCCCTCCAGATGGCCGACAGGGTATTGCTCGGTCCACAGGGCATGAAGACACTCGACCCCTCTGACCTCAACTACCGTGGCTACTACATCAACAGCGAAGACTCGACTGATTTCGCCACATCCAAGGGCCGCAACTACCACCAAGGACCCGAGTGGCTCTGGCCCACAGGCTTCTTCCTGCGAGCTCTGCTCAAGTTCGATCTCAAGCGCCGCAAGACGCCCGACGAACGTGTCGAGAGCTACCAACAAGTCACGCGCCGCCTCGCCGGCTGCATGAAGGCTATCCAAGAGTCGCCGTGGGCTGGTCTCACGGAGCTCACCCAGAAGGACGGCGCCTTCTGCGGCGACTCGTGCCCCACGCAGAGTTGGAGTGCTAGCTGCATCATCGACTTGTTCCAGGATGCGCGCGAGTACGAGACGGAGGGGCTGCAATCTTCGTCGTAGGCTGATAAGTTTGGTTTCATGAGCCTCGTTGCGAAGATGACCTGAGGGGGTGTTTCTACGTGGTAAGGTGGTGTAGAGTAGAGTGGCGAGAGACCTTTTGCTGTAGATACCTAGAGTAGTCGACTAATTAACCTTGAATTATTACCTCTTGTTCATCATGACGTTTATGTCTGACAGTTCTTCTTTGTGTTGTCTGCATGCTGCCAGGTAGATTGTCGTGGTTACTAACATGCTCTCGAGTCTCGACAGACTTGTTGATGTGTGCGATACAAGCTGTATGTCCATGTTCGTGCGCGATGCGTAGGAAAGAGGAGTAGACTGTAGGAAAGAAGGATCGCGTTACGGTAGGGGTGAATGCGATGGGTGTAGAGGCCCATCTTGCGATTCCTGTCGCTGTGGTGATTGCGCTGGTGGCAGTGAGCTTGGGTGATGGTAGACGGGGGCCCTCAAAGATACGAAGTCGCCACTGTACTCGCGGTCAGCACATCAGCTTGCTGCGTCTTCTCTTCGGGAGGTACTGGAGACCCTGAAAGAAGGGATTCCGGATATAAAGGGATTCCGGATAGAAAGGGATTCCGGGTAGAAACAAATGGTGGTGGCGAGTTCAGATAGCACATATAGGGATCATCGCTGACAATACTGATAAGGCAGCAGCTGTGAAAGCAGGCGAACTATCACTGATGAAGGTATGAGCTGCAAAGAGCAAAGCGAGTGAATCGTGATCGCCAAGGGTACACAGTGCTGTCGCTGCGCATCTAATGGCGGATTTTCACTCCCTCCAGCCTACATCCAATCTCACACCTACTAGCCCCCATCGCGACATCGCTGCTAAACCACACAGCCTCAACAACAACTACCCCCAGCCAAACAGAACCGAGAAACGCCTATCAAATACAACCCAATGGCCAATCACTTCTTATCCTACGATCCTCACGACCCACTGATGCGCAGTTACCAAGTCGCTCTCCACAGGCACGCCACCACTCCGCCCCAACAGACCACTCCCTCACAGCCCTCCTCCACAAGCGTCATCGCCGCACCAGCCACCAGCATGTCACAGGACGACATCCACGGGCGCTTCCTGGCAGCCGCCATGAAATGCGACACTAGGGCCATGCAACAAGAGTTCCACCATCTGCTGTCGGTTGCAGAGAGCCGAAACCAAGACTGTCTATTTCTGAAACGGCGGCACGAGCACGAGGTCGAGGCGAATCACGGCGAAATGGATTGGATGCGAGCGCGGATTCAGTGCTTGGAAGAGGAGATGCGCCGCGTTGCCGAATACAAGAAGAAAGCTGGACGGGCCTGCTACAGCCTGGATCAGAATGGAGACGTGCAAAGTAGGTGACCCAACGTCAACGCAGGCTCTACGGTATTCCGTTTTTCCCTTGAATGAGGTGGCCGCATCAAAGGGAGGTCAGGTGGGTAGATTGTGTGTCGTGTAGACAAGGTCTTCCCGGTAAAACCTGACTGTAAGCGCTCATCCTGCGCAGTATTGAGCATGGAGAGAAACGATTGTGTGGTAGTCGCAGGGCCATCTCGACATACGGCATTTGCGTTCTAGGGGTCGGTTAGATTTGCCTTCTGGCGCTGTAGTGCCAATAGCCTACACAAAGTTTATTGCTTCTTCTGGAATCCTCTGGCGTTATCAGCCTCCTCGGTTTCTCAAAGAAAAGGGTTCAATTGCGCCATTGTTCGCTGAGGAAGAGGCTGTCGGATGGCTGCACACAAAGGCGCGCTTGCTTTTCTTCCTACCGATCAGAATGTCGTGCATGAAGAAGCACTGTAGCTACCCGTACCTTGACTCTTTCGGGACGAGCGGCTGTGCACGCCGGCTCCAGTCAGCGGAAAAGCAAAATCTATATACTGAACGGTGTTAGTTTTCTCCATGAGCGAGTTCATTTTTACGACAACTGCCTCATTTGGACGTTTATCGTCCGTACGATCGTCCGTACAATAATTCATGGATCGTACTACCACGCTGCTGGGTGTGCATCCATCATCTGGAACGTCGGCTTTCTGCGGCAAAGTTCGAGTCAGCACACCCAGGCGCGAATCATTTCCCCTTCATATTTGCCACGGCTCTGCGCAGTGCTAGGAACGATGCGCAACATTGCCTCTCGCATGAAGTTTAGATGTTGGTTTAAGGTACGGATGCGGCCCGGATGGTGCCCCACAGTTCAGGATAATTGCCATGAAACGCTTGGTCAATGCTCCTGGTGAAGCAGTCGCCGTTGAGAAAGGGTCGAAGAGGCCTTCGCGGCGAGGCGTTTGTTCTGATGGCGTTGCACTCTGTGAGATATCGGTGTGAGTGTCGAGATTTTCTTGCGCGGGAGGTGCAGGGCGTGGATCATCCTTGGAGGTCAGCATACTCGCGTAAGCGGCACAGTGTGATCATGTCTCCAACGTCTTTCTCACCCGGCAACGAGCCGAGGCATAAGGGTCGTCACTTGAAAAGGAACAGCGAAAGGGGCGTCCCCCAAAAGAAGGGCCGATGGTGGATAGAGTGACAGTCTTTCAGCTGTTTGCGGTCCAAGGCTGCAGCGACTAGTCGGCAGTTACTTGGCTGGGGCCCAGGATGCTGGAATTTGGAAAGTACTACAGGCCAATCGCATTGCTTGTGGACAAGCATGGTGCTGCTCGCGTATATGCACGCGTTGGCAATCCACTGTAAATATGCTGACTGGCAAATGAGGTATGGATAGTCGTGAGAACGAGGCTAGCTGCTCTGTCTGCCAGATAACGCATGCGAGGCATCGCCAGGCACGAACTGGCGTGACCTGGACATGATTGCGAAGCTGACGATTGCGCCATCTCAGCCTTATCACGTTGCTGAGCATGCGATGCGTGAGTCAGTCGCACCAGAAGGGTTTGCACAGCAGGGACTGTTGCTCACCTACAAGTAAAAGGTCTAGGCTTCCAGCTTTCTCTCGCACGGATTGCTTCAAGCTAACCTGGACGGGGGCGTCGTGCATCTCAAGGTTCGATGCTGCGATGTCGTGCAGGCACGCATACATGCCTAAGCGAATGATTGACGGCCAAGCTCGCCACACAGACGTGAGGAAGTTTGCTAGAGGGTGGGTCTGTACTGCCGGTGTGAGCCAAACATTCATCCTGCGGTGTCTGAGCTTGATTGGCGCAATGTCTCTTCAAAGTCCGTGGTCGGTCTTTGAGAGATTATTAGCGTCGTTTTGGTGATGCAGGCGAGGCGGGGAACGACTCCCGGTGACAGGGATGTGCGAATGTAAACCTAGGGCTTAGCACTCGCATGGCTCAACCGCATTGATGGACTCGCTAGCTACGACGTGCCCATGCGAGCAACATACGTGTTCTATACGGGCGTCCGTGATAACCATGGTAGGCCGGATGATTAAGTCCGCCAGGTGGATCTGACCGTGAACAGACGTGCTGCTATGCAAGCAGAGGATGGATGCAAGGAAGGCATCGATTCATCGATCTGCAGATAGAGCAATCGGATAGTGGCAAGGTAATCGCCTCGGGCCTAAGCTTGGGCTGATGATGAGTGCCTTGGCTTGTGGTGTAACACTCAGGATAATGACCTTGTACCACGACAGGAAACACTCGTGAAACTTGCGAGAAAGCTGATCAGGAAGATTACAGAGTCAGGAACTCGGCCCGCTGGTGATTTTGCGGCATCCCGTAGGGCTCTCGATGCTCGGGAAAGCAGACGGCGACTTCCTGTGCGCATTATCGAATGCGCTGCACAGTCAATCTGGCTAGAGCCGTGAAAGAATTGCATTATCGCTTGCAGGTTTAGGGGACGCATGTTGTTTGAATCGCCCAGACACGATAGTATAGTAGTGGGTGAATACGTCCCCCACATGAAGAGTTATTTTGATACTGGGAGCAGAAGGATCTTCCTTTGCGGCGTGGCAGGCCGATAGCTCTGTAGGATCGCCATGCAGCTACCCGAAGGTCACGACGACAGGCAGGTCTGATCACTGATCAGGTCATTTCGGCGTACAAGGTGATGGACAGTAGCTTAACTTTATTCCAGCTCTTGCACACCGTTTAGTGTCTGGTTGAAAATGTCCGCGTTTTGACGTTCTCGTAGACGAGGTCCCTCGAGCGTAGTCATCGGTCAGGCAGGAGGCAGGGGCGGGTCACGAGCCAATCAGAGGGGGGTCGAGATACCAAGATAGGGACTTGTTTGGAAAAGCGCGCGCGGGAGGATTCCTATTCGGTCCGGTAATTGAGAGTCGCCCATGTCGCATCGGTGAAGGCAATGGGGCGAGAGATGTTGCAGGGCACTAACATGGCCGTTGGATGCGTCAGGAGGGTGCAGCTGTAGCCTGCCGCCTGGCGCCACAAGCACCGTTGAGTGCTAGCCGAAACAGCAAATGGCGAGATGAGAGCTAGCGACTAACGGTTTTGGGAGGCCGAGGAGGAGGTTCTGACATGGCGGCATCATGGCGGGCGTGTTGAGGTGCTGCCACTCGTGTGGTGAGGGACTTAGCGGAGTGGTTTGGAGGGGTGGGCGGCTGAGGGCGGCACAGTCATCAGGTCAGAGGTACTACGGAGTAAGCGACGTCAGCGTTCCCAGCGTCGTTTCCAGAGCAGTCTACGCGTGTTTGCAACATCGCATTGCCCGTTGCAGCGCGTCGTTGTCGCGGCGCGTCGGTGGCCGAGACGGGAAGCCCACAGTTGCGTTCATTCGGCTGCAGCCGCAGTCGTCCAAAGAAGCAAAGGGACACCCTGGCGGAGAGGCAGATTGGAGGACGAATATGGGACGGGCATGGGACGGTCACGTGGGGCCGGGCTAGGTAAGCAGCTAGCCGCAGTGGGCGCACAGCCGGGAGGACGTAGGGAACAGAACAGAACACGGAAGCCTGAGGACACGGGGGTGTTTCCCACAGCCAGTCAGGGGACAGTACACCGTCTAGATGGAAGCACAGGCTGATGGTCACTGAGGGTCACTGTGGTCACTGTGGTCACTCGCGAGGCGTGTTCTCGTCGCGCCTCGTCATGTCGTGCGCTCGGGGGCGGGCGGCAGCTCGAGTCTGGCAAGATTGGCATGCCACAAGCGGATCTCCAGCCGTCAGCCCCGAGCCCCTTAGCGCTTCGCACGCTTCCGCGTCTGGCGTCCCGCCGTGCGAGGCCCATGGGTGGACATGGGTGGCAGGGTGGCGGTGGGCGGGCGACATGGGGGCATGGGTTCGTCGACGGCATCAGGTCCCCGCTGCATGCCATCTCAAGTGGGCCCCAGCGCGCTCTTTCACAGTGCAGCAGCAGCGCCCTCCCCCGCAGCGCGCGCAAACCAGTGACATGCCCTGTCCCCTCAACTAGGGCCGCCAGCCGCTTCTTCCAGTGCGGGCCCAGCACTGCACTCGAGCTGCTGCATCGCTAGACCCTTTCCACCCTACCCGTGAGACCCTACTCCTTGTGCGACCCTGCCCTTCTTCCTCACGCACAACTTCCTCACCGCGTCGCCAGACCGCCAGATTCAAATACAGCGCCCGAATGCCATGATGGGAAGCGACTGGCATCCACGCAGGCACCCGCAGCCCGACCCCAACCACTTTCCCCAGCGCACTCTCCCCAGCTTTGCTGAGCTGACCTCGTCGTCCGACTCAGTCCTGCACCGCCCGCGTGACAACGTGCCGCCGCCGCCGACGCCCCAAGATCGTCCTGTCTCGCAGCAGACGCCGCCGGCCACGCTCGCTGCCCTAGACTTTGCGCATCCAAACTCACATTCCAGCTCCTTCACCGCAGTCAATCACGCGAGCCCGCACGTCAGGTAAGTTCTAGCCGTGACAGAGCCTGCCGCAAGCGTGCTGACCTGCTGGCCAGCCCCACCAACACCAGAATTCCACCACTGGGCCCCGAACATCAACCATTTTCTCTCTCTCTGCCCCAGGGCCCAATTGCTGCCTACAGTCCGCCTGTCTCTTCCTCTGCATCTTCGCATCCACCACCACATCCGTCGGCCAGCGTCCGCCAAGACTCGGCCATCTCCCATCGCTTCGAAAACTCAAAGGAAACCGAACCTACCCTCCCCTCCTCTGTGCTGGCCTTTTCTTATTTCCACCCTGCTGCGGGTAATGGTCGTCAATCTAACACGTCCCGCCCCATCTCACATCCAGCTGCGCCTTCCTCGCCACGCTCTCCAGCGAGCGATAATCGCTCAAATCAGGTGCCCGTAGAGACAGGAGCCCGCCATCCAAACGGTGCACCCTCCCCATCATTATCCTCAGGCCCTCACGCTTTCACGGAATTGTCCAGGTCGCCAGAGCAGGCTCGAGACGTTAACCCAGAATCTGGATCCAGGAGACCACTCCCATCTCCCACATTAGACCAAACAAACGGTGGCGGGCGACATCAACGCTACAACGTAAGATTCAACACCGTCTACACCTCGGAAAACATGCCGCCAAATCAGAGACCCCGGCCAGACCCCCTTCCGGCAGTCCCTGTGCCAGTGGAGACTCCGGAAGAACAGCCATCGCCTGAGCACACCATCGCACCCTCTGTGGAACAGGCCATCTTGGCTATCAGCTCTGCGCCCCCTCCTCCTGAGGATCTAGCCCAGCTTCAGCAGCAAAA